GGAAAGTGAGAAAGCAAGCTGCTGTGTATGGGACTCAAACCATGCTCAGCCATGTGGAGTCCGGCCACCTTAACCACCACCCACCTGCCAACCCCCCCCCCTTTTTTTTTTGCTATAGGGTACACGCACTTGCCAGCTCGACAGAGAGACAGAAAGTGAAAAGTCATCCCTCACGGGGGATGGATACCCTTCTCCTTCATTCTCTTGAGATTCTGGGCACAAACACAGCAGCCCAATAAAAGTTTCAAGCCACTGGGTCCGGGACTTGAATCCTTGTCAAGTAAGTGTGACTCCAGCGATGCAACCAATACACCATCTGCTGGTCCCTATTATTACGATTATCTATTTATTTGACTAGAGAAGGAGAGAAAGGCAGAGAGAAGGTGGGAGAGTAAGTCGGCAGGTCTGAACCGGTCAGTCATGTGGGAGTCCCGTGTCTTTGCCATCATAGAGCCTGCTGGCGCCAGGCTGGGCTTTTTTCTCTCTCTCCAGGAAAAAAAAGATATTAATACATATAAACTATTTCATCCTTTTTTTAAAAAAATAATTACTTAATTAAATTTGACAGAGAGAGAGAAAGCAAACTGCCAGGTCTGGGACTCAAACCACAGTAACCAATGTGGGAGTTGCCTTTTAACCACCTCACCTGCCGGCTCCCAGGCTGGGGCTTTTCTTTCTTTCTTTTTTCTGGAGAGGGAGAGGTTTTTGCTATAGGGCACATGCACTTGCCAGACAGAGAGAGACAGAGAGACAGAAAGAGAGAGAGATCATCCCCTACGGGGGATGGTCACGCCACAATCCCTTCTCCTCCATTCTCCTCTCGGGATCTTGGGAATGCACGCACACGGCGTGAGTTTTAAGCCACCGGTCTGGGACACGAACCTCGGTCGACTACGTGGGAATCCAGCGACATAGCCATTACGCTAACTGGTGGTCCCAAGGCTGGGGCTTTTCAAGAACCAGATCAGGGACCAGCAGTTGGTGTAATGGCTCTGTCGCTGGACTCCTATGTAGTCGACCACAGTTCTTAAAACTCACAGGGTACATGTACATGCGTGCCCAAGATCCCGAGAGGAGAATGGAGGAGAAGGGACTGCGGCGTGGCCATCCCCCCTGGGGGGTGATCTCTCGCTTTCTGTCTTTCTTTCTGGCGAGTGCACTCTCCAAAGGAGCGAGGCTATGCTCTCATCACTCCCCCCCACCCTCCAACCCCCAGCGGAGCGAGCACCCCGGCCCCCTACAGGCTTTAGGGGAAATGCACTCCCGGGCTTGGACGTGGTGACCATTCAAGAAAAAGCAAGAAAACTCCAGAGACAGGGTCTAATTCGGGTCTCTGAGTTTTCCAGAACTCGCACCTCGAGGAGGCGAACCGTCCATAGGGCAGCCGCTGTCTGATTGCCGGCCGGTGCCGATTCCGTGCTCCCGGCCTCTCCTGTAAGTAGCGGAGCACGCCGGGATCCGTGGCCAGGCGCACCTGAGCGAGGCCAGCCCTCAAGGAGGCCGGGTGCCCGGGACCCCACACCACAGGGCGGTGGAGACCAGTGAGAGCCGGAGCGACCACGGGCTTGGAAGGCAGAAAGCACCGCGGTCCGGACTCGGCAGCCTTTTCGCACCCTGAGGTTCGTGACCTGCCTCGTCGCTGAGTCTCCTTCAAGTCCCACAGCTGCGGGTCCCTGGGGGTGGCCTGCGGGGGCACTCCGGGCCCGGGCGGTGTTT